ATCTCTTTCTTCCTTTATCATCCAGAAGGCCCGTATAGTATAGCATCTACCATCTACCGTCTACCGTCCAGCGTCCACCTTTGTGGAATATCTCTAGCTTAGTCTCTCTCATGGTTCGAGAATTGCACGGACTCTATGTATACTCATCTTATCTCCTTACCGGTACATAGACAACAGTCCTGGACTTTAACTAAAACCGCGACTTGTTTACTATGGGAATGTTAACTACAAACTTACCGTCTGTGTACAGATACAGTCGGTTAAAAAATAAAATTACCCAATAAGAGAAATACAAATGCAAACCCAGCCAGCTATTTTCGGTTTCGGGTACTATACGCAAATATTAAAACGACACTGGACACTGTGCTCGGACTGACTCGTCTAACAACCGCGATATCGGGGTTTAGTATCAATAAATCTCAACATTTGTTCTCGGGCTATTAAAATATCCATTACAACTGCTTATTAGTTTATTCATACTTACATTAATACTTATACTCATAAATATAATATTTATTTATAACTACATAAAAACAAAAAATTTATTTCAACCAAGAAGATTTTGTTCTTCAAAATCTTCAAAATTTTGTTCTAGAAATTATTTTTTTTTTATTAAAGAAATTATTCTCTAAGCTCAAAAAATAAATATTTAATATATAAGATCATCAATCAAAAGAGACTATGCAAAATCTGGAGCATAAATTATTCAAAATTGTGGCTCAGTACTATGACTATACTTGAAAATGGCGTATTTTCAGTTAAAAAACGGTTTTTTGGTTTAAAGAAGATTAAAAAATGTTAATTTTTAATATTTGACATATTTATAAGCTTGAATATTAAGTACACTGATACAAAAATTAATTTAATTAGAGAGAAAAAATCTTGAACCAAGAGTATCATTTTAAAGAGTTAAATTTTCTTAAGAAAATTCTTGAATTAAGTAAAATTTACTCAAGCCAAGAACAATTTCTTAGTTTAAGAACTTTTTTTACTCAATTTAAGAAGGTGACACTCTTCAAAATTATAAGAGCATAAAATTTGAAAAATTATTATAACTATACTTGAAAATGGTGTTTCTCGAGTTAAAAAAGTGGTTTAAAAAAAAAAAAAACATCAGAAAGAATAAAAAAAACATCGATTCTGTAATATTTGACCTATTTAGAAGCTTGAATATTGAGCAAGAGAAATTAATCATTAAATTTAGCGATTTTTTTTCTGAACTGAGGTATAAAAAAAATATTAATTTATTAGATTAAAAAAAATAATTTCTTTGAATCTTGAAATTTTTCGCTTTCGTAAAAATTCTCTTGAGCCAAGACATTTTTGTTTGTGCATTGAGAAAAAAATTAAATTGAGTCAAAAGAACAAATTTTGAACCAAGAAAATAATTTCGAAGAAATTAATCTTGAACGAAGTAGAAAAATTTTTAAGTCAACTAAAATTGACTTAAATAAATACAAATTGATTTATTTTTTATCAGTTTGTACACACAATATTTATTTATAACTAAATAATTTAGAGTGTACTGGTGGAGGCTAAACAAAAATAAAGTCCGATGTCAAGTACCAAAAGATAAATTATAAATAATCACGGTACCAAAGTGGTAACCATATGAATATGATTTATAGCGTTCGCGCGTGGAGACAAAGGAATGCTCGTCTCTCTTTCTCAAACGCAACTTTTTATTTTTTTTCCATTCTCGTTGGATTCGCGGCGTCCACCTTGACTCCCGCGATCCTCTTGGCCCTTTCCCGTGTGGTAGTGGTACCAAGAGACAAGGACACCAAACAAGAAACGGAGTAACTGAATAAGCCTATACCTCTACTCTACCTGTACCTGTACCTGTATATATTCAAATACAAAGAAAAGAAAAAATCTATACATACATACATACAGAGTCCGAGCCAGAGTCTGAATAACCAAAGCCAGAACCAGAGAACTCTTTGAGCTGAAGGAATAGGCCATTCCACTTATACGCTGCTCAGATTCAATTAACTCTCCACCTTCTTCACTCTCCGTTTCCCATCAGATTTACCTCCTCACCGTACCATTTCTTTATACTTTAGAAGTATAAATAAAAATTCACCCAAAGGACGATTCACATAACACATTTGTGATAATATATTTTGCTCTATCTTTCTCCAACAGGGAAAAAAAAAATTTCAGACTGTCATTTTTACCGATTCTGGAAGTATTACATTGTAAAATGTAAATATTACATTCAAAGCTGTAAAAAATTAACATTTAAAGTTTGGAATTTAAAAATGTTATTTTGAACTACCATTTTTTTGGTTTTGAATTTAAAGTGACACTTATTGCTATCTACAATTTAATTTTAACCTTTTCCTTTTTTTCCGTCAAGCTTTAGTTAGGAAAATTTATTTCATTTTGAGACTGCGAAGGATTTTATTAATATTATTAAAAAAAAAAAATTCTGTGGAGTGAATTTTTAATTTTTTATTAATGAATGAGAATAAAAAATTTTTTTTTTCGTTAAAAAATTACAAAATGCAAATTTAGGGATTTAAAAAATTAATATAACATTTTTTTTTAGTATGATGTAACAATAAATTAATTTTATTTTTAATCATTATTTAAATTAATTCTCTCAATAATGATTTCTTTGTTAAGAAATCTAAAAAACAATCGTATAAAAGTTAATTTCAGTAACATTAAAGTAATTGATTTTTTTTTATTAAACGTAGTTATGTTAATAATTTATTATTTATTACTTTTTACGAAAGGATTTATTAACAAAACTTAAAAACAAAATAATCTTTATGATAATTTGGTTCAATATTACAAAGCCAAATTTTTTTAAAAAAATCTATCCATGCACTCCTGATTTTTTGCAGTGTATTGATGGAAAAATTAACTTGCTTCAAGGTAAAAAAATCTTAAACTATATACAAGAACATAATTTTGAAGAGTTTGATAATCTTCAATTTATCAAGCAGAAAAATTCTTAGTTCAACCAAATTTTATTTAATCAAAGAATTTTTCTCTTAAATAAAGTTTATTTTTTTTATCAACGTGTATTAAGTAAATATTGTAAATTTTGATAATTTTAGAAATGAAAAGAGCCGAAAATAATTAGCGGTAAGATTGTTTTTCGAGCAAAAATCATGAAACGCATTAGTTGAAAGGAGAGGAAAAAGATAATGATAATTCGGGGCTGGATGACGTGAGAAAGCGGCTCTTCATGCGATAAGAGGGTAGAATCCTCACGCCTGACGGTTTCGCGCCTGATCCCCTCGGGCTTTCTTACACATATAAGTATATATATATTAGGATGTTTCAGATGAAAACAATAATTTTTGGTGCGTCGACAAAGGAATTCCCTTAAATTTTAGTAGTTTTTGACTTGACTTGAAATGAGCTTTTTTAAAAAAAAACATTCAGTGGATACTTTAACCAGGCAATAATTCATAAGAAAACTTACATAGAATAAATTTCTTCGTTGAAGAAACAATTTTCTTGTTTGAAGAAAATGGAAATTTTCTTACCTGAAGTTAAGTTTTCTTAAGCCAAAAAAAAAAAAAAAACAATTTCAAGTGAAATATTTTTCTCATCTTTAAATAAATTAATTTTAGAATCATAAATATCATGCATTGCAATAAACTACGTTAAAAGTATACAACATAAAAATAGACTCATAAAAAATTTACTTAATTTAAGAGAAAAAATCGTGAATCAAGAAAATTATTTAAAAGAAGTTGATTATTTTGAATCGAGTAAAAAAAAATTTTACGAGAAATAAAAGTAAACTTATTTTCTTGGTCAAAGTAAAATTTTTTCAATAAAATTGTTGAAGTTTTTCATCCAAAAAAAAATTTGGCTTACTGAAAAATTTTCTTAATTAATTAAAGTAAATTTTCTACTTGATCATAATAAATTGAATTCTTCAAAAAGTTTTAGTTCAATATTGTTTCTTTTAAATTTTCTCAGTGGTAGGTTCGTATTTTAAAGAAAATCAATTATTATCGAGTTTCCAACACGATTCACGCAAAGAATAGTCAAAATATCTTTTAAGCAATGAAACAGACAACTATAGGCTGTCGCTAATTTGAATAAAAGATTTAGCGCAAGTGACAGAATGGTTAACAATTTAATAGTTTTAAAGAAATTTCGTAAAACATATATCATCAGACACCAGCGGTGAGATTGCGAAGCGAAAGAACGAAGCTCTGGTTCAGCATGTAGGTTCATGTACATGTGAGAGAGTAGACTCGAGAGTTGGTAAGTTCTCCACTCTCATCTGAGGATCATTTCTCTCTTGCTCTCTCTCTCTCTCTCTCTCTTTTCTTCTTTCTCTTTCACTCGACAATAATTCGATCCTTAGCCTTTTGCCTATAATACTATCTCGCTCTTTTGGTTTCCCACGAGAACCACCGCCGCCGCCGCCTTCTGGAATGTCGCTCGCCCCTCTCACCCCCACAGCATCCCGCGTACTTCCCCGCGCTCTCTCTCCAATAACTCTTACTCTCTCTCTCTTTCGTTCTCTTGTTTTATTTTTAACGTAATCCTTATTCACTTGCACACCGTCTCTTTACCCTTTAAGCTCTCACGATTCTTATTCGGCTTCAACTTCTTTTTAATATCTAACGGGGTGTCCATTTTAATATCTCGAGGTGTCCATTTTTTATCTCATACTGCGCTTATTTTTTCGCTTCAATAATTTTTTTGTGGTGTGCATTTATAACTTCAGTTAAGAATCTCCACTTCAGGGTGTGTATTTTTGACTTCATGAAAGATTTAGTAACCTCTTTGCATTTTTCACTTCAAAATATCGATTCCTTACTTCAGGGTTTGCATTTTTTAATTTCGAAGTGTCCATTTTTTATCAGAGTTTACTGTTTTTTTCGCTTATATAAATTTTTTTCCGTGCTGTGCATTTATAACTTCATTCAAGAATTTTTATTTCAGGGTGCATTTTTTAATTTCAAATTTTTCATTTTTCATCACTCTATACTTCATATTTCGCTTAAATAATTTTTTTAATGGTGTGCATTCAATCACTTGAATCAAAAATTGTTATTTCAAGGTGTGTGTTTTTGACTTAATGGAAGATTTATTAACCAATTTGCATTTTTTATTTCAGAATATCAATTACTTCTTTCAGAGTGTGTATTTTTTGAAAAGTTTATTTTTTGTTCTCCGTTTTTCTTCAAAACATTTTTATTCTTTGATTTTAACGATGATGAGTTTCAATTTTATGACTTCAGAAATAATTTTTCATTGTAAAGTGTGCATTTTCTTTATCTTAGCCTCGGGGGGCTTATAATATGGTGTGCATTGTTGACTTGATGAAATATTTTTTACTTTATACTATTTCACTAAATTTTCTTCCCTGTATATTATATCAGTCAGTAATTTTAAAAATAATTTTCATTACGTGCTTCTGAAATTTTATCAATAACTTAAAATTCAAATCGCGCAATAGTCAAAAAATGAGTAATCAAATAAAAAAAACAAGCACCTTATAGCTCCGTTAAATTTATTTCTCGAAAACGCCATAAATTAATAACACCAGTATATAAACTTATTCATATATATATTTTAAATATGTGGAATTTAAGTATAAAAAATAAATAAAAAAAACTATTTTCGTAACAGTCTTATACTAGTGATGAACTTAAAAGATTTATGACTCTTCAGGTGGTTATGAATGGGATTCTTTTTTATTAATGGACCCGAAAAATTTAACGTTTAGACACGTTGGGCGCTTATTCACGTTCCGTGACTAATTTCTTCACTAATTGTTTAAGTCACCTCCGTTACAACACTGCGCATTTGTAGTTTCACACTTTTAAAAATACCAAACTTAAATTACCAACTGAATATATAAAATATAATCAATTTTAATTACAGCTTTACCTTATAAATGAACATACTTACAAGACTGCTGATATTTTTTCAGAAACATACGAGAAATATATAATAGTTATGTACTTATTCGCAAAAACAAAGAAAGAGACAAGACTTTATTGCCCGAATCGAGAGCATTCTACTATATAGTATCCGTATACTGAATAAATTTACTTCATTTCTTTTTATTTTAGCCCTGAGTTGATCTAATCGCTGTTTAAACGAGTCACGGAAAAATATTGTTGCGACAAGCGGCTCCATTGTGTCTATACATTCAAAATTTTTTTTATGACTACTATTATTATTATTTAAAAAGAAAAATTTTTAATTAAATATCAAATCATTTTCTAGTCACTCCAAAAATTGCTATAACTCCTGAAATATTTTTTATCAAAAATTCATTAGAGGCCAAAATAGTAACTTATAAAATTTACCACAAACAATGTTTTTACACTATCAGACATATCTTAAATATTTTGAGACATATAGTAATGAAAGTAATTTTAAGATTTTTAAAAATTTTTCTTGGTAAAAAAAAATTTTAAAAAATTTAAATATAGTCAAAACGTCTGAAATATTGATTTTTGGGAAAAGTCATAAAAATCCAAATTTATAACTTAAGAAATTTCCTACAAAAAATATTTTGACATTGTGAAGCTATCTACAGTATTTTAGGAGACACAATTAAATGTCTTTAGTACTTTAATCTATAGTAACTAGTAACTGTAATTATAACCATAACTCCTAAAATAATGATTTAAGATAAAAATATTATTTTAAAAATTTTCTCTATAATTCTTATTATTATTTTATTTCTATAAAATAAATTTAGATATATATTCAATTTAGTTAAATCTGCGGCTACTTGGTAAATCTCTTATTACACACCCGGTAAATAATTACAGTTTATAATTATTGCTACCCGATGCATTTTGCTGCTATGACTAACTTTATAATAAATATACTTATTACGGTTACAAATTATCGTCTGCGTTATTCTGTTACGTTATGAGTTATGACTATTACAAAGCTACTTATTTTTCATTCTTCATTATTTAGACTTATGGCTTATTTATATATAATTTGCAAATATCTTCTTTGAATGAAATTTTGGCGGGGAATTAATTTTTTAAAAAATCTGCCAATAAATAATAATAATAAAATTTATTTGCATCACCGTAACATGTTTTCTCCAAGTCCAGGCGTAATTCGAGACCTGTGGCCAGACCAAGCGGTTCTTTCCTCATGATTATAAATAATAATTATAATAACAATTTAAATAAAGCTATAATAACCGTGATTGTGTTATTAATATGTGTGTGAGAATATTTGTTTTCATATGCACTCAGTGCACTCACGTTCGTAAAGAAATTTTTGTAAGTTCATTTTATATTTCAGTGAAATGAAATAAAAAAATTTAATAAATTTTTTTTTGTAAAAAATAGTTTTTTTTATGATATTAAAGTTAGCTGTCTTAGCCATTTTTTTATTGTATTTAACAAAAAAATTTGTTCCAAAAAATTATTATTAAAAAATTGCATTTTTAATTTATTAAATTTTCTAAATGTCAATTTTTTTTTCTTATTTTTTTTATGCAATAATTTATTTATAGAAAAGTTTTTTTTTTTTTTTACTTTTTTTTATTAAACTGTTAATATTTTTGTTAAATAAATTTGAAGAGTATTTAGGTATAATCTTTTGTAGCGCGAAGAAGTTTTTGCTTATGAACAGTAAAAAATAAAGATTGTAAAATATTTATTGACTATAAATAAGTTCGGAATATTTATTACCGATAGTAAATTGTACCTTGAATTTCTTACCTTATCAACCAGCCATCAAGCACAAGCACAATCACCATAACCTCAAATTTTTCTCACAAGTGCACAAGTGAATTTTTAACAAAAATACGATCACACTTTATAAACAATTTTGGTACAATAAAAAATTAATTGTCATTGATAAATAATGATAATATTTTGTTAATAATTATTGTGTCATTAATCAACATGATTCAAGGGTAAGTTTTAATTTTTTACACGAAAAGTAACAATGGAAAATTTTTTTCATTTAAATTATAAAATTTGTGTGATTATTCGGTTTAATTTATACATTCATTATTTTTTATTGACATTTTAATTATCCGGCTGTCAAAAAACCATTTTACAAAATAATTAAAGACTATTTATGATTTATGAAAATAAATTTAGCAGATATTTAATAATTTTAAAAATTTTTGTAACAAATAAATAATGGCAAACAAAACTAGAAAAAAAAAATTGACATGTAGAAATTTTAAAAAATTAAAAATGCAATTTTTTTTAAATAATTTTTTGGAGCAAATTTTTTTGTTAAAAAAAATTAAAAAATAATCAATTGACTGCTAACTTTAATGTCATAGACTATTTAACAATTTTTTTCAAACAAACTGATTTTGATTTATTACCCCAACTTATTTTATATTGTCCCAGCGAAATTTTTTTTTCAGAACAATAATCAAAACTAATAAAAATAAATTACAGGTGCAAAAATTTCTCCACCTGTCGTGCGAGTATAAAACTGTGTTCTCGCTACTTTTCATCATCAGTATCCCGATCAGAAGCTAAAAAGCGGCGGCATGATTTATTCGAAGCGGAAAAAAAGTCGCAGCGATCAGCAGTAGGCCGTATAGAAAAAATAAAAGTTCTGTACAACACCCACGAAGACGAGGTGACAATGCTGATGAACAAAAACCTGTCCACCCCTCATGACTGTGCCAAGCACATTTCAGAAGGAGTCGCAAATCTGTCAGCACTTGCTCTAGTCGACGGTGTTCCTTGGGACATGCACCGTCCCCTTCCAGGACCATGTGAGCTGAAACTTTCGACCATGAAAACGCCCCTGGTCCCGGCTGTCAACAACGCTTTCTGGCGCACTTGCTCATTCATGTTGGGCGCTGTGATTGACAACGCCTTCAATGACGAGGTCACCTGCCACTTGCACAGTTTCACCGCTCCGAACATTAGATCCGGCAGCTTCGTCTACGACGCGCAGCTCGACTTGCCGAATTGGACACCAACAGCTTCAGAAATGCGGGTGCTGTCCAGCGAATTCACAAAATTTATTCAGCAGGAGCTGCCTATCGACCGGCTGGAAGTCAACGAAGCTCTGGCCTTGGAGATGTTCCAGGACAATCCGTTTAAAAGCAAGCAGATCCCGGACATTGCTGAGAGGAGCAACCAGAAAGTCACTCTCTATAGAATGGGACAGCATGTGGACATCAGCAAGGGACCCATGGTTGCCAATTCCGGTATTGTTGGTCGGTTTACGATGACCGCTATTCATAAAATTCAGAAAGAAGGCCTCGAAATGTTCCGGTTCCAGGGAATCGCCTTGCCCAAAGGCATCCTGGTAAACCATGTCATGTACGGGCTGCTGGAAAAACGGGCTCAGAAACTCAACGATATCACCTGGATGCCGAGGATAACCGAACAGGAGCACGATGAACATATTAAAGTTGCTGCTAAAAATTGAGTATTTTATTGATGATCACTTTTATAAGTAATAAATCGTAAGTTATGTTTATAATTTTCAGTGTTTTTTTTTATTTTTCCTTGATGGGGTTTAAATTAAAGTTGAATTAATATTTTTATGTGATTTAAATATAGAGAAGTTTTTAAATTAAACATTCAAGTTTTTTTTTTTCAATATTTAAATCAATGGTTTGAGTTATTTTTGTAGAAATTTTGAGACAATTTTATTAATGAAAATTCGTTTGATTTTTAATTCCTTGAAAATTTTATTATTTTATTTAAAAAAATAAATCGATAATTTTCTTTTCTAATGTTAATAAAATTTAATATTTTTTTCAATTTAAATATTATAAATTTTTTAAAAATTTTAATATCACTACTATATAAAGTATATTTTGTTGATTTTTTAGATTTAATATTGAAATAAAAAATATATAAAAATTTTTTTATTAAAGTTCAATTTTTTACTTATAATTTTTTTTAATTAAAATAAAAAAATTGTAATTCATTCATTTTTTTTTTTTTTTTTTCAATTTTAATGTAAAATAATTTTTTTAATATTTCTTAACAAACTTTAAAATCAAATTATTAAATTTTTCCCAATAAAAATCTCATCAATATTGAGCTTAAAAAAAAAAATCAAAGTTTTCACTTAATTAAAAACAAAAAATATTTGAATTTTTCATTAAAAATTTCTCAAAAAGAAATCCCTAAAATTTTTTTAAAACATTAAAAAAAAAGTTATTAAGTCTCTATCATCTCTCAAGAAAATGAACCATAAAAAAATATAAATAAATAAATCAATAACTATGAGATCGCTTGCAAGCTTTCTGCTCCCAAATAAAATTACCCGGGAGTCTGTTGGCGACAGATCCAGGGCAAGAGACTTTCATCTTCATGTAAATTTCTGGATTATGGGAAGCTCTGGGATGATCAAAGTCGTCGCTCTTGAGAATAGACCTGACCAAGAAGGGAGCGAGCTCCGGAGAGCAACGAAGATCCACGGAAATTGTCAGGTCGAACTTGGAGATTCCTCGAGAATTCTGGCGGTCATCAGCTTCGTAGTCCTCAGACTCTGGGGCAAGGTGAAACTTGTTGGCAAATGCTGACCGGTTCATGTTACCGTAGTAGAAGAATTGTCCTCCGTACTCGCCGTAGCCGGAGTAGGTCGAGGAGACTGGGATTCTTGGAAGCGGCATCCTCTTGGTGTGCATCAGTCTTTCTCTGTCGTGGTGGACGGCCTCGTAGTGGTGCTCGTTCACGCTTCCGACCAACCGTCTCAATCTCAGGTGCATGAATCGTTGCTCGTCGCGCCAGGATGTCTCGTCCACGGCACGCGGGACTTCCAGACAGGTGAACCAGGCGCGACGCATCACGTACCGGAGTTGCATGCAGAGAATGCTCCCGCGGTTCCCGCGTCCTGTTGTCAATCGGAATCCTACTACCCGGCGTCCCTCTGCCAGGCAGTCCAGTATGTCGATGGCCTTGCAACCGGATACTAGGGCTGATCTGTATGTTTTTTTTTTTTATTTTTTTTTTTTTTTAATTTTTTTATGAGCTAATTAGTCTTATTTTTATTTACAGAATTTATCGGTATAGGGAAACCGCTAGCAATGGACGTTCATGCGGAATTTTAATATTGGATGATTAAATATTAAAACGGACAGTATAAAATTTATAGAGCTCCAAATTATAAAACTGTTGATGATATTGGAATTAGCATAAAAATCCTAAAAATTAGCAAAAATATTGGATTTAGTATAAAAATCCTAAAAATTTTCAGATCTCTGCTTTTAATATCATTGAAAATAAATTATTCACACAAAAAAAAAAATTTATTAGTTTGTCTGCTTAAATTAATTCAAAACAATGAATTTCATTCAAATAATTTTCTAGGTTGAAGAATTATTTTATTGGATCGAATCAATTTTTTTTTTAGTGTAAAAAAATATTCTCTATTTTTTAATCATGTGTCTTAATTAACTATAATAAGAAAATTTACTTGAAGAAAAATTTTTAAACTAAGAATTGTTCTTGATTAATTGGAAATTTAATAATTATTATTCTGGTTGATTATAAATTATCAAAATGAAAAAAAAAAAAATTTCTTGGTTCAATAATTTTTCAGCTTAATCAAATTAATTTTTTAAAAATAATTATATAAATTTTAATGAATATTTGTAAGTATTTTTAGATTTTTATAATGTTTTTAAATTCCTATTTTATTTTTCACTTTCAATTTTTTCATTTGAAATATGGAAAAATATTTTCAGTAATTAAAAAAATTGATAAATTATTTAAGTTATGAATGAAAAAAAAAATTAATAAACTGTTAATATACAAACAGTTAGTCTTAAATTGACGTACAAGTACCGCATGAACGTCTTTAACGGTTTAAATATTCAGTTAGAATTTCTAGCGGTTCCCTTATTAACAAGTCAAAAAAAGTAAAATCAACTCAATAATAATAATAACCTGTTGAGTTTGCGTTCCGAGACCTTCTCGAAATAGTTCATGAAACGTTTGCAAAGGGCAAAGAACGCGGTTACTACTGCATCCGGTCCATTGGGGCCGATCAGAGCGGCTGGTCTTACATTCGCGAGGTACAGAAGGTTGTTCAGCTCGTCCAGGAGACTCCCGGCGTAAAAACACAGCCGGGGAAACTTCTCTGGACGCGGTGGGTGTGTGTAGCGCCAGGTTACAGCTCTCAGCATCTTGTACTGAGAGCGAATCAGCTCTAGGATGTTGAAGGCCCGGCTGTGGGCCAGGACGTCGGTCTCGTTTTTCAGCTGGGATATTCGTGCCTCTGTTCGAAGCATGGCAGCTTCCAGGCGATGTCCCGCAGAGATGAATGCTCCGTTTAGGACTGATGTTGCTACTAGTTGACATTGTCTGTAAAATTATTTTAATATTAATGATAATTAATGACTCTCGACGGACACATTGTGACTGCGGTTGCTAGTTCTTATAAATTTATCATTAAAATTCAATCTCTTCAAGTATTGAATACCTGGACACGAGTCTCGCGGATGTCGCGACAACTTGACAAGGCAAATACTTGAAAACCATCTCCAAAACTTCTGGCGGCAGGGTCTCCAGGGTGAAAGTTCTCGATCTCGTTCTCGGGCCATCTCTCACTTCCCATGACGACGATATTTTTCGGCGCTTGTTCGCACTCATTTAATAACTTCCCAATCTAATAATCCTTTCTTATTTTATTTTCTTTGAAAGCTCCTTAGCACATTATCTCCGTGATAACGCCAATTTATTCTAATTAAAATACTATTTTATATATAAATGATAAAATTATACACTTTTTTTTTCTTTCTCTCATTAAAAAATAAACAACAGTCGTTTTTTTCTTGTCAATTACATTCAACGCAATCTTCAGTTAATTTACTATTTTTTTTTCTTTTTTTTTTTTATTTATTAACAACAAATCACCAAAATTCATTTTTTTCAAATTTTTTGAATACTTTCTTAACTGTACTTGAAAAAATTAATTCAAAAATAATTATTTAAAAACATTGTTTACAGATTTTTTTTTTAATTTCCCTTTAAGAAAAACATTTAGTCACAAAATTAATAAAAAATTTAATTTAGACTTAGAAGATACAAGTATTAATAATGAAATTAAAACAAAAAGTAAAAATTAATAAATTATTAACATTACTACGTTTAATTAAACAATATTAATTACTTTAATGTCACTGAAATTTTTATATGACGGTTTTTTAAGAAATAAATTATTATAGAGAGAATTCTTGTATAAAACTGTAAAGTTATGCAAATAAAACACAATAATAATATTATAGAGAGAATTTATAAAAAAAAATACAACTTGTAGAAATTAAAAAAAAAATTAAATCAATTTCTTTAAAACATTAAAATTAATTTGTAATATTAATCAAAAAAAAGTTCTATAAATTTTTTAAATCTCCAAATACGCACTTTGTAATTTTTTTATGAAAAAACTTTTTTTCTTTTTATTTAATAAAAAAAAAAATTACAAATTTACTTCGCAGGTTTCTTATAATATAAACGATATCCTTTTTGGAGTGAATTTCACTCCAGTAAAATTAAATTAATTGAAAATCATCCGCAAATTTTTTAGTGGAGGGAATGATAATTATTATTATTTCTGCGAAAATAACTTCAATAAATATTTATTGCAATAAACATTTAAACAATGATCGATTTAATTATATTAATTTGATAAATTATAAATGAATAGATTAAAATTTAAATAAAATAATTCAAGTAGAAAAATTCATTGGCATAAGTAGAGTTAATTTAGGTTGGTCACAAATTATTGAATCTTCAGCCGTAACTGACGCACTTATACTGTCTAATAAATTTTGTATTGCATTTCGATTATTATTATTATTATCATTACTATTATTATTATTATTATTATTAGAATTGTGAGTGCGTTTCACATGTTCCCGTCGGTGCTTCAATTCCTTGAAAGCTTTTCCGCAATAATCGCACACGAAGGGCCTTGTAGCTTCATGGGACCGCAAGTGGCTGCTAAAATGACTTTTCCTTACAAATTTCTTGCTGCAAATAGAGCAAGCAAATTGGTAACGTCCTTCATGAGCTGCTACGTGGGTATTTAGTGTCCACTGGGTTTTGAAAGTTTTCGCGCAGTAGCCGCACTGAATTTTGTTCTTGTCTTTTTCAGCAGGTGACTTTTCATTTTGATTTTTGTTGCAGGGTTCTGTAGGCACGCGAGGGTTTTTTAATAACAGTAATTCTTCTAGAAGAAAGTCGTCGATTTTTTCTTCAGCTTCGAGGTCCAGTGAAGAGGTTATTTCTTGCGAATGGTGCTTCAGGTGATTCGATAATGTTTCTTCGCTCGGGAATTTATTCTCCGAAGATTTCTGGATTGAATAAATAATTTTTTTTTATTATTTTGTAAAAATTTAAAGTTATTTTTTAATCCAAGTTCTACTGTAGTTTTTTATTTATCTAGAATATTGAATAATTAAAAAAAAAAAAAAACAATATTGTCTACATAATTGTACTTTCAATTGGATTTTTTTTCTTAGATTTTATCTTTAAAATTAAAAATTGAACATTTGGTATTACTTATTAAAAATTATTTATTTTAATTCTAAATCATTTGTTTGAATAAAAATATTCAAATATATTTGAAAATTTAACTTTGGATTAAAAAATTACTTAAATAACAAACTTTTTGGTAATTGTTTAATTTCACGGTCATATATTTATAATTTTTTGACATGAAAACTGAAAAATGAATATTTTTAATTAATTATCCTATTTAATGGGTTCAAATAATTATTTACAAAGGAGTCAACCCCATTTTGGGCGATAACTAGGTGAAAAATTAACATTTTATAATTTTTCTTTATTCTTCTTGTTTTTACGGTGCTTTTATGATGAAAAATGTAGTGAAAAAAAAAAAAAAAATAAAGATTTCGATAGCTTTTTTGTCTTTAAAATTTTGAAAAAAAATTCGCTATTATGTTTTTGATATATTTTTTTTGAAAAGCACATAGAAAAAGGAACAATTGAAAAAAAAAATTGAACCGCGAAACTAACCAATTGCCATAGATACATATATATTATTATTATTAATAATAAAAAATATAAAACCTTATGAATAACAGCGTGACTATTTAGTTGTTCAAAGTTCTTAAATTTTAATTCACAAATGTTGCAAGAGTAATCATCAGTATCACCATTATTATTATTGTTATTGTTATTATTATTATTATTATTAGTAGGGTTATTATTACTTCTAGGTGACTTAGAAGAGTGTGTAGTATTAATATGCCGTTGCAGTATTAGATCATTGAGAAAATGATCACCACATTGGTCGCAAGTACGTACATCAGAAGGTTGAGGCTCAGAATTGCGGTGTAATTTAGCTTGATGGCGCGCAATATGACGTTTTAAATCGTGAGCACGTGAGAATGCACGTTGGTACCTCGAGCATGTTGGTATCGGGCATCCCTTGGATTTGTCAGGCGTGTTAGTCGGTCTGGTCTTTGGCGAACTTTCTTTCTGACTCTCCAGCATCGATACCGACACTTCTACTGGTTCCATTGGAACCAATCCTTCCGATGGCATCGCTTTGATTTTTGACTCTGCTTTTCTCAGAGATCCATTTTCTGATAAGGTTACCACTGGCAAAGCTTGTAAATTAATACTCTGATTAATGTCTTTTCGAAATTCTATAGATGCTACCTCCTCTGTTACTGTCGACAATTGGTTCGACAGAGGGATGAATATTATTCCATGTGATATTGGATCAAGCTCCATTTTTATTTTCTGTAACAATTTTTATTGTTAATAAATTTGGAGAAAAATTATGGAAAAGTTTATTAAAAAAATAAATAAATTATAAAAATTTTTATTAAAAAAATAATCATCTAAGTATTAAAAAAAATTTTTTTTTTATTTAGATACAATTTTTTATTTTTTTTATTTAAAACAAAAAATATTTTTTCAAGTCCGATATTTACAATTTTTTTTTTATTTTATTGAAAATTATTTTATTAATTATTTCACTTAAATTACTCATTAAAAAATTTTATCTTGCTTATACACAATAAGCGCCTTTTATAGTGACTAATTGTAACAAAAATCCCCTGACTAAAACCATCGATTTGAATGGATGTGGGCCCCTTTATTATGCCTCATATTTTAAATATAAACAATACTACCCAGGCATTTTTTATTCCAAGTATTTATTTTATCACTTTATTCTCGGTATTTATATTTTCAAACTATAGATCAAATTTCTGTGTATACAACATAATTAAAGACTGATTTTTTTTTCTTCGATGTATATTATACAAAAATAAATTTCTTTTAATAAATTTTCGTTAATTAAAAAAATTCACTCCAAATTAAATTATTTATAAAAATACATTATAAAAAAAAGGATCGATGTTAATCTATTTTTGATCGAATTCTACAAATAGCTCTTACTGTGGGTTAATTTTAATTTTTACTCCAGCTTGAATATGTAAATCTATAAATATTGCCTTAAATACTTTTAAAATTACTTACATTTAGAATACTCAAAAAATAATGACAGTAATTATTGTTACTATTTATGTCAGTCAGCAAACACAAACAAAAAATTGTAACTCTTTAATATTGAATTTTTCACTTTCTTAATTTTAAATGTTACACTTTACTTTGTGTAAATTTATATTTATATTTATATTTAAGTATATATACAGAGAGCTTACTTTCAGAAAGAAATGAAAGTGTGATAGTCTACAGTTCTTGTTTTACAGTGTTGATATCCTGAACTCTGAACTAAAACTGGACAAAACGATCAACAAATTCATCTTATGTTTCATCTATATGTTTCTAAATTATCTCCACCCCCGCAACTCAATATTATCTATACTACTATTAACTACCGTATTAAAACTTTTCAATACCCTGTTCTCTTATTTTATTTATTTTTTTGTGTCTGTAATTTTAATCTTTTTAGTATTATTATTGTTATTATCAAATAAAAATTTCCAATAATTTTTGATAACTTTCAAAATTTAAATGTGAATTTTTTTTTTTCAATTTCATTTTAAAAATTTTAATAAAAATAAATTTTTAATCATTTATTCTTAAAATGTTAAATAAATTTATTTTTTTTTTTTAATATGTGAAAATTTATTCGCGGGAAATTATTAATTTAAAATTTTTTCAAATTGCGTTCAATATTCACCGTACATTAAAAAGTTAATAATTTTTTTTAAATTAAATATATTAACCACTTTTTTTTTATATGATTTTACTTAACAAACTGTTTCCTTCATTCGAATATTTGTATAATATATAAAAATAATTTTTCATTATCAAAAAATTTATTGAAGTTCAATTTTATACGAACCTGACTATTGTAAGTGCGCATGTTTATGATAGCGTATAAATAACGCGCGCACTTCTCTGAATGCGCATGATTTTTAAATATTATCTTTGAATCTTATATTAAATATCCAAGAAACCAAAGAAATTATAAATAGTGTAAACATAAATTTAAATAACAATAAAACTAAATGGTAATTTACAGCAATTTATCCGGGTGTAAAAAATCTCAAAAAAATTCATCTTTTTTTTTTATGTTTTCATAGTTCAATCGAAAAATTTAGCTTCTAGTTTATATTAAAATAAATTTGATAATTTGGTTGATCCAAAATTTCCTAAAATCGGATCATGTTTGGAATTTTTCTAACACAACTGCATCTCGATGTTAGAAAATTCAAAATTTCAACTAAAAATTAATAAGGAACTATTAAGATAGTTAACCCGAGATGAGTTCAATTAAAAATTAGATACTTAACATTGATTGCATACGCTCTCTGCAGTTTTGTACCAGTTTCTTATAGTTATAAAAAAAAAACTAACTGTCAGAAACTTTCAAAAAACTGACATGTATTTTAATGTATTTGCTGTGAATATAAAAAAAAATTTTTGACCGTTTAATTATTTATAAATAACGGATTAAAGTTTAACAATTTATAAAAAAGTATATATTTACGGAGTCGGACAGAAACAATTGTATGGGTTGCGTTTCTGTGGGTACAGTCTTGCGTAAAAATTATGGATTACTTAGCTACAGGCTCATGTACTTTTGCGATGCGTATAATCTCTAATTTTTTGACAGTATTGTACCATGACAACTACCTTTTAATTTTTAATAAAATTTAAAGGTCACATCAATTCAAATATGACGTAAAGATTTGACATTTCAGTTCAAAGGATGCGGCTATAATTAAACACCGCGATGAAGGACTAATTGTCGCGCATCTATAATAATAATAATAATAAATTTACGAAATAATAATCTTGCAGTTTCATTAAATAAGACAAGTTAGACAAATACATGCAAATTAGATAGAAGTTCAAGTGAGGATTACACATAAAAACGATTTTCAAATTGACAAGCTTACCCCTGTAAAAAATATTTATGACTTATATAGTAATCTCAATTTTTTAGTAATTAATTAAAAAATAAATATCTTGTTTTAAAATAAAAAAATAATATTTTTAATGTTTTTAAATATTACTTAATTCATCAATAAAAAATTTTCATATATGTAATTCAATTTAAAACAATGAAAATTAATTTATTTGCTTCGCCGTAAATTCAAATAAAAAATTATCAGATGAACCGAATTTTTAAAAACTTGCTAATAAAGCAGCAAACTAAATAATTTAGATAAATGTGTTTAAATTAAATAAAATAAAAAAAAAAAAAACGTTTTTACGTTTATGCTAATCCGAATAGAAGCAGGCGACAAGAGGGCGTACTATTCATTACCATTACATTATATGTATATTCTCATGAGAATTTTCCCTCGAATTTAATCATTTTAATCAGCTAATGCTATTGAATAATGACTAATGTTTTTTTATAGTTTTTAAAAAAATTTTATTGTTTTGTCGTTAAAATAATTTTTTATTTTACATTATTATAGTCACAGTTTGCATTAATGATTGTTTATATATAGTCATAATTAAATTTATTATTTGTTATTTTATTAAATTATACAGAGCTCTTCAGTTTACTAATTAAGTAATTAATTGTTATGATTATTATATGGTAAAAATGTGAGACTGTTATTAAAGTAGTAAACTATGTTTGGTATTTAATTTACTTTATTCATCCAATTATGTATAATTATTGTAATAATAAAAAAATTTTATCAAATTAAAATAATAATTTAGCGTAAAACTAATTAAAATTTTATGAATTTTTTATGAAATAAAAAAATAATTATGAAAAATCAAAATTTATTAATCTTTAAATAAAAATTTACTGATAATTATAATTCATTAAAGAAAAAAAATTTTTTTTTTACTTTTTTCTTCTAAATACAAATTTGCGAAAATAAAAAAAAATTCTAAATGTCAATTTTTTATCACCAAAATTTTGAATTTGATCTCTAGCGTTTTTATTTAATATTTAAATAAATTCAACGCGCTTTACTTAATTTTTTTAAAAAACACTTAAGACATAATTAGTCCAAAATTCTCTTCAGAAAATTAATACATAGTATTTACTATAATAAAATATTTATCTGTAAGAGTGACATTTATTTATAAATACCAAACTAAGTGCTCTGCATAACTTACTTTACCATTATTATATCCACCTGCATGTGGATAATAGCGAAGTCAAGATCTGAGACAATTTATTTTCGGGTACTGCTCGCCATTTATTTCAGTTTAATGCATCTCTAGATTATTAGATTAAGTATCAATATCTAGCAACTCAAACAAGTATTTACCTAAGAATAAATTTCTATATATACACAGAATAATAATCATATTCCATAATATTTTTTATTTTTACTTTAAATAGAAAACTTCAGGATTTATTTTAAATCCGTCAACATTTTCTTTGTTCTTACAATAAAATACTAGTATTTTTATGTTAAAATAACAATTTATCCAAAGCTTCGGTATGTATACAAATTAGCTTTCTCATATGTTTTCATACATAAAATATGTCAGCTTTAATTTCCATAAAAAAATTTACTTTTATAAATAACATATTCTTTATTAAAATTAAAAAAATTATAGTATAGTGATAAAAATAAATTATCTGCTAACAAAATTAATTTTTAAAATTTACTAAAAAAAAAAAAAAATAATTATAAAGTAAAATTACCAAATTAATTAATAGGAAATTTAATGCATATAAATTTTTTACTAAAAAATAATATTTTTTTTTCTTTACTGTAAACTTATGTTGAGGCTGTTTTTTTAAATACTAGCGCAAGTGGTTAAACTAACCAGAAAATAATACAACAACTAATCATAGTAATTAGTAATAAAGAAACTAGATCTTTTTAGACATGCCTAATCAAACAAAACTATTAAACCAATAGACATCTAATTAATTTCATAAAATTTATCGTTTCTCAGTTAATATTTTAAGCTGATAATATTTTTTCGATATATTTTTTTAGTTGAAAAAAATAATAACTTTTTATTAAAAATCCTTTCTTTAGTAATTTTCTTTAAGTAAATAAACTAATTAAAAATTTTCCAAGTTGAATAGAATCTTAATTACGATTATAGAGATGTAAATATACAAAACTAAAAATAATTTTTATTTTTAAAGATCAACTTATAAGACATTTCGATAATATTGCCAGCATTCTTGCAAATAAAAAATTATAAATAGTTTACAAAATTCTTTAAGAGCATAATTGAAAGTAAATACTGAAGTAAAGTTAAAAAATTGTTTTACTAAAAATAAACAAATAATAACTCACAATTAATAAATAAATACAAAATTTGACAGAAAAATATCAACAATGAAAAATAGAAATATAAAAACTATTGAAAAATAACTCACGAGTTAGACGGAATTTATGATATTTATTAGTATGCTCGAACAAACTAAACGTGAAAGTATCGTTAAAGATTAACGGTTTGGAAAACTAGGATCCTCAAGAGTAAATCCATTACAAACGATCTATCTATATATAATAAATTTATAATATTATAAAGCGTACAATTTTCACTCTGAGAATACTATTGGAAAGTAAACATAATCGGGCATCGATTATTCCGCAACTTTTTTATTTATTCTTTTTTTCATTATTAACAACGATTATATTTATTATACTTATCGGTATTATAATAAAAAATATTTACATTATTATTTACACATTTAAACAGATGATTATGACGATCAAGTGTCGGCATAATTGCTGATGGTGTTTTTTATCCACTCAGTGTAATGTTGGACCTTTGTATAAACATCTGGGAATCCCGGTCTGGCGCATCCTGATCCGAAGGATGTTATGCCGGCTAATTGCCAGACGCCGTCACTTCGTTTGCACTGTAACGGGCCGCCTGAGTCACCCTGTAAATTATATCAAATTTTAAGTCATAAATAATAATTAATTAGTAGTAAAATAGTCGGGAAAACATTCGTAGATTTTTTTCAGTAAAAATAAATTTTTATTCTCACTAAAAAAAATTAAGTTTTTATTTTTATATTATAAAAATAAAAATAAATTACCACACAAGATCCAGAAGAGCCGTCGAGGTGCCCAGCACACAAGTGCCCATTCCTCAGAGGCACCGAATTGCCGTAGGCCTTTTTGCAATCCTCCAGAGTCAGAAGCGGGATACTGGCTTCTAAGAGCGCGGCAGACAATGAAGGTGATGGTCCAGATCGACCCCAGCCGGAAGTAAAGCAATTTGTGTCTACGAGTTTCTTTTCTGTTTCTGGTTCGGGTAGACAGATTGTTCGGATTATTTTTGAAAGTGGAGCTGGTCTACTTAATTTCATCAGAGCTGAAATATATTATATACTTTTTTTTTAAATTGTTATTTCTTTTTTAGAGTAATTCAAGTTTTTATTTTATTAATTTGTTATTAGAAGCTAAAAAAATTGTTGAAATTTTTAATTAAGTGTGAAAATTAATTTTGTCTATATTTTTTAATTTTGTGTCTGTAATTTCAATTTTTTTTTTTTATTATTATTATAATTAGTCAATGATTAAATGCAAAATTTTTTTTTAATTTCATTAAAAAAATTGGAATAATAATAATAATTGGTAATTTTTTGAAGTTTTTTACTTATATTTTTTTTTTAAGATAAAAATTAAAAACATCAAATTCATGTGATTAAAAAATGACAATAATCATAAAAAAAACTAGTTATAATAAATTGAAAATAAATCACTAAATTAACAAGTTTTTTTATACTACACAATAAGTTGTGGTGAAGGTAATAAAAAAGTAATAACATTCACATAAAATATGAGTATATATGCTATCTTTAAAATAAAAATATAAAATAACAAGAAAATGATTTATGATTTCAATTACCATATTATATAGAAGTGTCAATTATTTCTTTTTATAAAATGTTTACATTTTTTAAAAGTGAAGTAAAAATTTAGAGTTGAAAATTAATTTAATATAATGTAGAATTAAATTTTTTTTGATAATTTCTAAACTTTTGAAATATATCTCTGTTGAATTTTTTTAAGGACATTTTTAAAGATCTGTAGTCATGTAACAAAAAAAATAAAAAAAAACTACATATTAAACATCTGGTACTATTTTCACTATCAAGAAAGTAAAGTCTATAAAAAAATAATAAAAAAAAAACTTACCAATATCATGATTATAATTATCAAATTTTTCATGAATAACCACTCGCTCAACCGGTATCCTGACAGATCCTCGATTACCAGAATCTAATTCCCATTCACCGAGCACCGTCGTCCATAATGCGCCAATAGGTAGATTGAATACATCACTGCAATTAAAAAGTAACTTAATAGATAAAAAATAAATAAAAAAATAAAAAAAAAAAACAAACTTAAAAAGTGAATTTTTTTTATATTTTCAAAATTAATAATCAATTTAGATTTTTACAAAAATGTTCTTCAACCCAAAAATTAAAATTTAAAAATCGCAAAAACTATTAAAACACTTGAGAAAAAATTAAAAATTATTTAAAAAATAAATTTTATCATAAAATTCATTAAAATCTTCAAAAATTAATCAGAGAAATTTATAAAAAAAAAAAATAAATCTTTTTTCAACCCACCTTACCGAACAAATAAATAAAAACATACTTGTGAATACAATGAGCCGCAGTGAGGACCCAGGAAGGATCAACGAGGACTCCTCCGCACCAATGGCCGATGAACCCCAACTTCGGGTGCAGAAGCTGCAGGGAAGCTTGCCAGGGCCAAGATCCGCGTTTGCTCGGCTTCCCGTTGAAAATCCTCCCCGTGGCCCTCGCAGTGGTCATCCTCTTTGGCTCCAGGGCTCCGATTTTGGTCTCGAGAATGTCCCGCGGCTGCCGATGTGTAACTGCAGGATTACCGCACTCTGCCATTCAAAAATTCATTCTGTACGGCTTACGCCGTGCTTATTTGCAAACGAATTCCCACAATGTTCAATATTAAAAGTAAAAATAAAAACTATTTTTTTATTTTTTTACATTCATTGTCGACATACATAAGTTTTATGTTTGAAATCTTTAGATGTAGGAATCCGGTTATCAAATTTAATAATTATAAGTAAATGATAAAATAATTTTACAGTAGAACCTCGATAAGCTAAAGTTTGATGAAAGAAAAAATTTGAAAAATAGATTATCGAGTTTTTAACTTAGGGAGGTTTTATAACTTAAAATTTTAATTTGATAAAATCAATTTTGAAGAGAAAAAAATTTTTTTTTTAATGTTACAGAGAAGAAAAATACTTTATAAAAGAACTAATTTTCTTGACTCAAGAAAATAATTTAAAAAATGACAATTTTTCTTGACTAGTAAAGTTTTAGAGCAAAAAAAAAATATTTTTTCGCTTCAAAATAATTTAGGTTTACGGAAAAATTTACTTGATGTCATTAAATATTTTTTTGTAGGTGATTTAACATTATAAAAAAGATCTAAATAAAAGTTTTCGTTTATTAAAAATCAAGCCGCAAAAAAAATGAATTTTTGATTAGAAAATAAATTTATCTGACTAAAAAAAAATATTTATGAAGACATTTATCTTGAGTAAAAAATTTCTTGCTTCGAAACAATTATTTTGATCAAATAAATTTTTTTTCTGTGCGGAAAACTTTTTGAAATAATATATTAAATTTTTTTTTAGTTTGTAAAGTTAATTTTATTTATTTCTCATTCTTTTTATTAACGTTTAAATTATACATTGAAAAAAAAAGTTAGTTTAGTTCAAGAGAAAAATGATTGAATCAAGTAAAATGTACTTAAATAAAGGCCCTTAAAAATTATTTTCTTGCTTCAAGAATTTTTTTTGCCAATTACTTTTTTTTTTTCAGACTTTGAAGGGGAGTTAACATACAAATTTTTCAAGTTATAAAGGTTCTATTGTAGTAATAAAATACTTACTCGGTTGATTTTTAATCATCGCTTTGATTTCTTTGTTAAACAGCAAATAAATTATCAAAAATTTACTCAAAAAATGCATTGTATTTTTTTTTTAATAATCTTCTTTTAAAAATTTTAAAAATTACATATTTCAAAAAATAAAAACCACTAACACTTGACACTTAAAACTTAAAAACAAAATTTTTTTATAACGACCAAAATAAAAAATAAGATTTAATAAATAAATAAATAGATGTGACTTGTAATAGTTCTCTTGCCTGAATGGACCATCTTACAATCTTACTTCGAAAGTTATACACACGTTTCCGCTTTATTACTCCTTTTTTCGCTTACTTACTCTTACTTATGCTCGAGTCTATGTACTGAGTACTATAATAAGACACCAAGACAAGACTAAGAGTGTAAGAGTGTTTGTATTTCATATTAACTTATACTATTAATGTAATGTAATATAATAATAAATAAAAATATCTGGTGGGGTTTTAGAGTAAGTAGGAAAAGTTTTGTTCATTAGTTATTAACTGCCCAGATTACAAGATTGTAAATATATAAACAGAGGAATTTATGATTGATAATGATAGACAATGGATTTATTGTGTACAGTACTCGTTCAATTCTATACAATTCACAATATAATAGATTATAAATCCAAGATGTTTTCTTTTGTGACCTTAACATTGTATCATTTGTTGGGAGTTTATAAATGTAAAATAAAAAAAAAAAAAAATACTAACAAAAAATAGTGAGCGAGAAAGTGAAACTGCGGTCTCTGATCTACTGAAGAAAGCAAGAGCTATTGAGAACATTTACTTTTACTAACGAGGAAAGTGTATTCATGACTTTTAAGATTTATCAAATAATCTTATTATATTTTTATTGTTATTATTAGTAATATTATTTATTAATTGCAAAGATTGAGATAAAAGTAAAACCGAAAGGTTTAAATGTTGATTCATTCTTTTAAAAAGTAGTGTAAATACTTGACCGAGTTTTTATGTTCAGAAGAAAGAATTTTTAAGTATTAAAAATAATTCAAATTTTCTTATTTACAAATTTCTTAGTCAGAATTTTTTGAAGTTATTAATTTTATATTTTAAATATTTTTGTTGTAATAATTAACGTGGTTTTACGTTTACTTTAAAAATTTTTTCTTCTTTAGAGAAGAAAATTTTATTTTTAAATTCAAACAAATAATTACTTTTTAATGAATTCTTTTGGAAATATTACGAGATTTATTGCTTGGAATTTAGTGCGGTTGTAAACATTTAATTAAAATTTGCCAAAAAAAGTGAAAATTTTATTATAATAACACATTTAAAAAAAATAAATTAAGATTTGAAATAGTTCAGTAAAAGCGAATAATTATAAAAAATCAATAAATTAAAAAATTTTTAAAATAATAAAAAAATCAAAAAGAAAACTAAAAATTTTTGTAACAATTAAATTATAATGAAAAAAATTTCACATATAGAAATTTTAGAAAATTATAAAAGCGAACTTTTAAAAATATATTTTTTATAATAATTTATTAGAAACATTTCAAGAATTGTCAGATGTGTTTGTTAATTTCTGGATTATTTTTCAAAAATGTAAAAACATGAAAATTATCAATAAAGATTTAAAAAATTGATTATTTCGGTTAAAAAGAAATTATAGGAAAAATAATTATAGTTTTTTTGAGTTTAAAAATTTTTATTGTGACTAAAAATAATTCATTTTAAAATATGATAAAAAATATGAATTTTTTTTTAATAAATTAATTTTTTTAACAAAAAAATCAGTTTAAATTCATTTTATGTAAATTAATGTAATTATGTTTATTTTAGTTTAGAAAAAAAAATTTTTAAATATTTCTTTAAATTAAACCTAAAAATCAATAATTAATTTTAAATTAATTCACATTTATAAACAATTTTTTTCACGGCGCTTGAGGTAAAAATGAGGCTCGTTTTAGCGGGAATCAGTATGTAAACAAATATGGCGACGCAGGTCTTTTACATTTGCATTTAAAATATTTACTCAAACAGTTGAATTAAAGAAAAACATAAAATTGACCACTCAGAAATTTTATTAATTAAAATTTTTAAATAAATTGAATTATTAATAATTTATTTCAACTATTGTAAAGTCACACAAAAGAAATATATAAAACGTGAAGAATAATGAGCCGTCAAACGAAATCAACAGTAAAGTATGAGGTTATGAATAATAAAAATATTTTTTTATTTTTTTGTTATTATTATTATTAATTCTACTTGTAATCATCAAATGTTTACTGGTTCACTATCATATGATATATAATTTTTGTTATTATTATATTATTTTATCTAACTAAGTATTTTCTACTTTCAGAAAGATAATATTATTGAAGGAAGAGTCATCAGACGGTCAGTGCGCCTGCTTCCTGAGTCTCAACAAAAGGTTAAATATTTATTTTGTATTTTTTTTATCTATGATAGCTACAGTGACAATTTTTTTATTTTTATCATTTGCGTTAAAATTTTTATATACTAAAAAATTAAATGAGTTATACACTGTCTAAAGAATATTTAGCTTAAATAATTACAGGCAATTTAATTATTATTATTATTATTAATAATATTGATAATGATAATTGTTTCTAGAAATTATTAAATGAGGAGCTGAAAAATAATAGAGAAGCTGATATTTCATCATTACCACCTATTCATTTTACCGGAAAAATTTATTATGCTACGGATTTTGAAGGTTGTGCTAATATTTGCGACCAAGTTATGTAAGTTTTTTTTTTTTTTTTTTTTTTTTTTTAATTCATTACAGTTAAAGTTGATCAAATTTGTATAAAAAAAAAAATAATATATAATTTATGATTTCTATTACAGAGAACGAATTAATAAATTTGCAAAGGACATTGTACCAATAGGATTCGACCTGGAGTGGCCGTTTAGTTTCCAAACGGGGTCTGGTAAAACCGCGTTGGCTCAAGTTTGTGTTTCTGAACAAACTTGTCATTTGTTTCACATTTACAATTTGAAAAAATTGCCAGCTTCGTTTATTTTACTACTGAGTCATCCAAAAGTCAGACTCGTTGGTGTTAATATAAAAAAGTATGTATATTTTATATCTTGATTTATTTAAAATTTCAAATGATTTTTTATTCGAGTTAGATATTATGAAATTAAAGATTTTATTGCATCAATTAATTTCGAATGATATTGATTACATTACTCTAGGAATAATTATACGCACTTAGAACGACAAAAAAATAACTTCTTAATCATTTTTACTGAAAAGGATTTTTAATTAAATAATTAATAAGTTGTTTCTTTTAATATATTGTTTGTAAAAATATAAAATATTTATCGGAATTATTAATACTAGCAACCTTGCAGTCACTATTTATTAAATAAAGCAAAATTTTAAATTGCACTGTACTTTCTTAAATATTGACGTTTTTAAATATATAAGCTCATCCCGATGTTACACTCATCAAGAGTTTTCATTTGAGTACCCACATGCATATTTGATATATTTTTCATATTTACATATATATAATATATATTAATATATGAAAAAATGATGTGGGTACTTAAATGAAAGATTTTGATAAGTGTAACATCGGAATGAGCTTATATCTTAAAAAATGTCAATAGTTCTTTTTGTAAAATTATCATGGGTAGTAAAAATCATTTTGCTATCAAAAAATAAAAATTAATTTAGTTTTCAAATTTTTCTAGCGATTGTTGGAAATTAGGTCGAGATTTTCCAGAATTTCCAGCCCAGATAGTTGTTGAGAATAATTGCATCGACTGTGGACCTTTTTGCAACAAAATATACAACCGGTCGGGCCGATGGAGCCTACAGCGTCTCACGGCTTATTTACTTGAAAAGCAAATAAGCAAGGATGCGAAAGTTAGAAACAGTAAATGGCATATTTTACCGCTCAGTGATGCACAAAAGAGTTACGCTGCCACCGACGCTTATGTTTCTCTGTTGCTCCATTTAACCATCCAAAAGAAGGCCGAGGAAATTGAACGCCTGAATATAACCGATCAGTCCGATGTTCAAGGAGATGCAGTGATCAAGGAAGACGAAGCGGGACAAGAGTTTAAGGAAAATTTACCTGCTGATTTGAGCGAGTCGTTTGAAGAACCGTTTGAAGAGCAAAATTGTTTAATAGATCATGATAATTTGGATCAAGAGCGCAAAGAACTCAAGGATTCATAACCGTTTAATTTTTTTAATACGTCAATAGACTAGTTAAAAAATTAGAACTAAAAAATTTTAATAATTAAGATAAGAATTGACTAAGTGAAAAATATAAATTAATTTTTTTGACAATTAAATGGATGACTGAAAAAATATTTTTAGTAATAAAAATCTAAAAAAATTTTTTAGTTAAGTAAAAAATAAATAATTAGTTCTCAAAAAATAAAGATTAAAATTTTTATTAAAGGACGACTTTAAGAGAAATAAATCTCAAAAAAAAAAAAAATGGAATCTCGCATCGTTAAATTAATTTGGGCTGGACGTATGAGCTACAAAGCTAGTCTGCATTTACAAAAGACTCTGGTTGACCAGCACCACCATCATCCGAATTCAACCCAAGAAAATACACTTGTATTAATAGAGCACAATCCTGTTTACACAATCGGGATCCGCGATAAAAATTATACAGTTGAAGAAATTGAAAGACTACGAGGAACCGGTGCTGAGTTTTTTAAAACGAACCGCGGAGGTCTGATAACATTCCACGGTCCAGGTCAGCTGGTAGCTTACCCAATTATCAACTTGAAGCAATTCAAGCCTTCAGTCAAGTGGTACGTCGAGCAAATTGAGAAGACGGTGATAAGACTTTGTGCAGAAATGGGAATAAAAGCCGAAACTTCACCACATACCGGAGTCTGGGTCGGTGACAAGAAAATTTGTGCGATAGGTATCCACGGCAGCCGGTTCATAACTTCCCATGGACTAGCATTAAATTGCAACACGGACCTCCAGTGGTTCAAGCACATTGTGCCTTGCGGAATCGAGGGTAAAGGCGTGACGAGTCTCTCTGAAGAACTGAACACAGAAGTCACTGTCAGTGATGTTATTCCGCTCTTCAAAAATGCCTTTGAGGATCAGTTCAAGTGCACGATCGTTGACTACCAGCCTGGCGAAGCCTCAGAGATAATGCGAGCCGCTGTTTCTTCTACGAAATGATTTATAATTAGTAATTGTTTGTTTATGTAAGAAATTAGTGTTCGTTTTTATTAAATTTTTTTTTTTAATTGTTAACTGTTAAGTCTTGTGGTAAATTGCAAGTTTTAAGGAATGATAATGATATTTTTAATAAATATATATATTTTATAATGATAAGATTTGAATAATTTATTGCTATAGCATTGAAAAATAAAATATACTATGTTGTACATGCTAATTTGTGGTAACTATTCTTAATTAATTGTAATTATATATATATATATTTAATTAATTAATTAATTAACAGTTAAAGCATCACAGCCTCGGTCAAGGCTAGGCGATATATTTGGTTGAATAACATCTATTTTTTTTTTTTTGTCATTGTAAACTTAAATTTTTAACTTAATCTTGGTCTTTTTTAATTTTTTGGCTACTTATTCAATTATTTTTATTTTTTTCAGATAATTTTTGTATGTACTTTTAAAGTAATTATAATATTCATAAAAATTGAATATAATTTCAAATTTTATATTTCTCGTTAAAATTTCCAATCTATTAAAGTATAAAATAATTTTATAAAATTTTTTTTTAACGGATTTGTAAATTATAAAAATTAATTCGAGCTTAAATTAGAGTCTTGCGACTTTTTTCCGCTGTATTATAAATTGTACTAATTATTTTTCGATTGTAAAATTTATTTCTAAAAAAAAAAAAAATTAATGAGTAAATGTATGTTTTTTAAAGTCAGTAAAAAAATGACTAAAAAGTACAAGAATAAATAAATAAGCAGTTGAACTTATACCAATTTATAACCAACTTATACCACAGTACAGTTCAGTAATAATCTAATAATAATATTAATTATTATTATTATAAATAACTTCTAATCTTAAGTGAAAAAAATAATTTCCGAAGCTTAACTACTAAAGTAACAAAATGTGTACATCGGTAATTAAATGACTAGATATTACCTTTCATAACAGTGACCCATAAACATAAAAACAACCCTGTAACAGATGACGCTCAATATAACATAAACAGTAGTTCGAATTTAATAAAAAAAAGCTCGTTAAAACTATTCCGTGAGTACGTGTAAATATTTTTCATGATAAAGCTCAGTGGTAAGCAGTCCAACGATATTAACGGCATTGTGCAGGGAGTTTGCCGAATCGCAAATTAATTTAATAGCTTTTTCGATGTCGCCCTTTAGTTCTCCATATTGCTTATTAGTGAGGAGATTTTCAAGAGCTTGCAACCCTTTGAGTACATCCGGGCTAGGCCGTACATCGATAGTGTCCAGGTCGATGGATCTCGCGGGCGCGACACCCGGTGCATGAGGAGTGAAACGCACTATCTGTTGCTCCGATTTCGAGTCGGGTAATTGTGCGAAGCAGTAGGTACCTAGTACGCGTGATAAAAATTTACATCTGTAACGAAAAATATTAAAACTTTTTTTATTGACTTTTTATTAATTAATTCGCTAATTTATTAAATAATCGCTAAATTACCAATTAATTTGCTTATTTAAAAAATTAAAGTGAAAAATAATACCTGATTGATAACTGTGAACCTTTTCTGATACCAATAGCTCCGAAAATTCCCCAACCTTGTCCAGCGTCATCTGCGACTGCCAATAGTGCTCGAGCAAGACGCTTTAGTGATCTGGCAGCAATTGTTGTATTTTCATTGTACTGACATTGACGATAAGCTAATTCGAATGCTTTTGCCGATAATAGTGGAATTTTTTCTTCAATTATTTCACTAAAAAAAAAAAATTTTTACAATTTAAAGCTATAAATATTAAATAATCTATGATTTGTTTGAATAATAATTTTTGTTATAATCTCTTTTGGCTCTGCAGAAGAATCAAAAAGGCATATAAAAATTTATTTTTCTCCAATCAACTTGAAAATGTTGAAAAAAAAAATTTTATTGCCAGAAGTTCAAATCGTAAAATTTTTTCATACAACAAGTTAAAAAATTGAACTAAAATTTTTTTTATAAACAGTCTTTTGGCTTTAAGGTAATTGTCGTGTAATTATTAATTAATTATTTACTTAATTAATTAATTAAAGTACCTAGGTTTGATAGCCGTTATCCAGTCGACCAAATTAACAAGCATCATTCCTTCTTCCCTGATGTCCCTACAAGACGGCAGCCGTTTCATCAGTAGCGCGTACAGCGCCAAAAGTCTGCCCTCAGCAACCAGCACGCTTTCAATCGGCGGCTGTCTTGGAACCACGGGCTGCAAAATTCCTAGCACACTGCCCCAACTAGGTTCAACATCTTCTGTAATACTGTGCCTAAAATACGACTCCAATGCCGCTTCCATAATTTCTCCTAACGTCGCTGGAGAGGTAACCGAGATTCCAATGACTCTCAGCATCCCCAGCAGAACTGGGCTCGCTGCAGTTTTATCCGCCAGCCATCCACACCAGCTGATTCTCAGCTGCTCTACCAGGAACCCACTCTGGTTAACTGAATGCAGCAATTCTGTAATAAGCAATCCAGCCTCTGCTGCCTGCTGGTTCTCCGACACCGTGCTGGTGACAATAATCTCCATCTCTTCCAACATTTTTCCCATTGCTGCTGCGAACGCCTTCGCATTACTCGATACTAGTGACTTGTGTCTTGTTGTGCAATTCACCAGGAGTTTCACTGCCGAGCGGACGTAGATCTGACGCTTTTTTAACGTCGTAGGGTGAAAGTGTGTAGCTGTTGCGTCGTAAGCTGCGACTATTTTCAGTAAATTGTTAACAGCAACATCTACTGTGTGTACTTGACCGAATCCTAAGTTCAAGATTACTCTTGGGTCTGAACTCATTACATGCCAGTTCACCACCTGGATAAAGAATTTATTATTGTTAATTTTTAATAGAGATATTAATTTAAAATATTAAAATTTAATGGGATATATTTTTTCTCTTTAATAAAATTAATTAATTTTTTTATCAATATAGAAAATATTTACCTGATCATAAACCGTCGCATCAACCAAATGCCATGCGAACTTTTCCGCCTCCGTCACCAACAGAATCGCCCTCTCATTCTGTCTAACATTCGGTTCATTCGATAGCTTGACAATCAAATTCAGCAAACAAACATGCATTCTCCCAGCAACAGCTATCGGCTGAGTAGCCAGTATGTCATTTATCCAAGTAGTCCAGTTGATCATCACAAAGATATTTCCCAGAAACAGATGACTGTCCGGCAAGTACTGATCAACAACCTTGACCATAAACTCAACATCAGTCAACTCTGGGAGAAATTTATCCCAAGGCAGTGACAAAAAATTTCCATGAATAACATTAAGAACATGATCCTTTATGGAAGCATTTGCAAAGTTGGTCACATAGAATTGCCAAAGATACCCCAAGATTTTACAACTGGCCGGCATGGTATCGATAATAAATCTAATACACTCCACAAAAACCGCGACTGTTTTATTCGCATAAGGTCCGTCGCTGATGATCCACGGCAATAGAACGCTTCTGTCATCAGTAAGCTGCTGGATCCAGGCAGCAGTGGGTTCCTGGAGGTTTCTCGTCCAGTAGGGAGTGATCCAGGGTGCAAACATGTCACTCAATACCGGCCAGATACGCTCGCAGAGTTGGTCCGCAAGAGATCCACGATCAAACTGCAGAGTAAGGACAACTAGAGCGTGACCTACCATGCCCAAAAACATATTTAAGGGCTCATTATAGACGCGGTACTTGGGATACAACCCATAGAGGCCATACTGAAGCCGCTCCTTCATAAAATGCTTACTCAAAAGCACCGCAGTGTCATGAATCTCCTGTCTCGACAAAAGCCGCTGTTCCGTAGCATACCTACGAATTTCTTCACGAACTTTGCAAGGATGAACCACTAAATTCCTCGACCTGCCACTGAGAGCCGCCAGTAGGTCTCTCCACACGTCTAAGGAGAGATTCTGGCCCTCGCTGCCTCGCAAAATGGCACCTAGAACCTCCCCATAGTGTTCCGGGAACTCATGCAACAAAACTGCTCGCAAATGATTCCGGAACAGTTCGTGCAAAATGAGCTTATCGTCTTCAGGATTGAGCCCGATGTTGCACAGCGCCTTGGAGACCAGTTCAATGAAAGTAGACCGCTCACTCAACCTGGGTCGGCGGTAATTCAGCCAGGCGCCTACGTCGAATTTCGACAGCAAAACAAAGCACAAATCCGCGTTGCTGCTAGATGACAAGTCAACCACCGTGGAGTACATCGCCAGAAAATTAGCAGCTCCTCCAGCTACTGGAGTAAAGTGTGGGCCCAGAAGACCTCCCAAAGTTGGTCTCTGGATTATCGTGCTGAGCAGCCTTGGGCCCTGAGACTCTTCACCGCTGATGAACAGCTGGCCTAGTTTCTCCACGCAGGTGGTAATGAGCTGCTTGGTTGGTAGGTAAAGAGCAGCTTCTTCCGAGTAAACTTCCACCAGGTGGTAAAAGAGCCTCACTCCCGTCGCTTGGAGGTCCGTAAGCACTGCAGTGTTTTCGCAGGTTCGGTGAAGGTTCAATTCGTGCTCTAAAAGAGCGATCAGGTGGTCCATGAAGACACATCCCTGGGTGAACTTGCTGGGTGGAGGTTGACCGGCTTTTATCAACAGATTTTCATACTCTGCTCGGTTTTGCGAGATCAGGGCCTCTATTCCTTCGCAGACGCGAGCTTCGGATATTTTTATCCTGATGACAGCGGGTCCGGCGCAGTGAACTGTTGGTGGAGTGCCTGAGCGACACCGAGAGCCTACAGGAGCTGGGTCGCAGAGCGCGTGGAGGGTTATCCAAGTGTCTACTTCGCGGTACAACGTCGGAATTAGTTCCAGAAAGGCACAATCTGCTGCGGTATGCTCAGAAACCATCAGGGTGTAGATGGTAGCGTATTCTAGAATACCTTTCAAGTGGGGCTGGACTGTCTGGATTATTTTGTCAGGATGATGGAGACAGTCCTGTGATATAGGTTCTATCAGCGGGTTGTGCTTCGCTAGTGGTGGAGGAGGTTCTGGGGCCTCGTAGGTCGTC